TGAAAAATAGTAAAACCTAGGTTTTGGGGAGTTACCATATATATATATAATTGATATTTAACTAATATGTAATTAATACGTAATTAATATATACTTAATATATACTGAATATATACTTAATATATATATATATACACTTAATATATCATGAACATATACTTTATATATATATATAATTATATTCTATTCTATTCTACTCTATTCTATTATGTTATGTTTATATTATATCATATTATACATACATGGCACCCCCTTCCCCAAACAAAACACACGCCTTTGAGGTCTACGCGAAGAACCGCAGCTCTGGAATCTGTGAGGGTTTCTCTTCTTGGTTCCGAGAGCAGGGTTGGCTTTGAACGCAGCCGCAGTGGCAAAGGCCTGAGCGAGTCCTTTTGCGATGGCATAGCAGCGCGGCTTTGCAGTTAGAGTTCTGCATTGGTACGGGGCAGGGATGCTCAATGATTAGCAGCGCTGAGACTCCAAGTGCCCAGCCGAGCGCCGCCGCGGAGGATCAGCAGTGGCAGGATGGGCGCCAGCCACAGCAGCCGTGGTGGGCAAATCAGTGGAGCCAGAGGCAGGCCTGGGGTTCTTACAAAGGATGGGGATCCCAGATGTAGGGATCATGGCAGCCCCAGTGGGATTCCTGCTAAAGTTAGGCATGTGGCAGAACACCGCGTGGGGAGCCGATTCGCGAGACCTGGAAGTCAAGAATCGGGTCCGGCTGGAGGAAGCGAGACTCCGGCCAGCAGCTGTGAGGCGGCCCTACGAAAGAGTCTCAACCACGTGTCAAGAGGCTGAGCACCAGCATAGACCCCTCCTTTACGGCTCAGCAGCTGATGGAGAAGCTGACTGGAAATGCCTGGCTGGCTACGGAATCTATACCTTGCATCCTGATGGGGTGAGCCGCTCGATGGATCACTTGTTGAATTAAGGAGCTGGAGCCTTTGGAGTTCTTGCGGATGTTGCAGACGCTGGCAGACTTCTACAAGAGTTTCAGGCGGAGCAAAGGCCAGGAGTTTGTCGCGTATGACATGGAGTTCAAGCGGCATGGACAACGCCTGGAGGAGATTGGAGGCGCGATCACAGGTGTCACCAAGGCCTATACTGGCTCTAGGAGAAAGCCTGTTTATCTCAGGAGCTCAGGAAACAGGTGGTTGCGGCTGCAGGTGGTCAGTATGGGTACTCCAAACTCCGAGCTGCGGTGATGGCCATTGTTCGCCAGGTGCAAAAAGGAGAGGAGAGCGCTGCATCAGTGGCGGAAACCTCCAGCTAAGGTCCACGCTACCACCATGGAAGAGCCCGGGATCATGATGGCGGTGGCGAAGATGATGGTGAAGCTGCAGACCAGCTTGTCCTCGAGTTGCTGGAGGAAGAGCTGCAGGTGCTGCTGACCCAAGCAGCTAAGAAACGTGCTCAGGTGGAAGCAAGCGGCCAGCTCAGCGTTCACTGAAGTTCAATCGGAATGGCAGCGGCCGTGTGGAGAGCGCGGAAGCCCGCGCTGAGCGGATCGCCGCGAAGCAGAAGATGCCTTGCTCAGCCTGTAAAGCCCATGGCAAGACGGCTTATGGACAATGGCATTCCGATCCTGCAGGTTTCTTGGTCGATCTTCGTGGCGGTCAGTGGTGATGAGTACTGGTGTGTGAGCGCCGGGCTCAGCAATCTGACTGTCTGCTTGCACTCTCAGATGCGCGTTGCGTGCGGGCAGTGCACGCGCATGACACACCTCCACGAGGCCGGGTTGGATGTCTATGTGGTCAAAGAGTCGAGGCCTTTCAGGTTTGGCGCAGGACCGAAGATACTGTCTAAGCACAGGATAATCAGGATAATCTTGCCCTTGAGTATCCCTGGAGCTTCAACGGTACCTTGGTTGCGAGTTAGTGTGGTGGAGCAAGACGTGCCTCTGCTCCTCAGTAAAGGTGCTCTCAAGTGACTGGGAGCATGTCTGGACTTGGGAACCGCCAGGGTGGCTTTGGCTAGGAACAGTGATGTGCCGCAGCCACAGTTAACACTTCTTGCAGATGATTGAGGGTGAGATGGAGGTGTCTGGAAGCACAGACGATGAAGACACCAATGTGATGAGATGACCGTGAATGTGTGCCCCGAGGCCCCACCAGCTCAGGTCTGGGCGATTTGAGCTACGAGAGTCTCGAGCGTCTGGTTGAAAGGCTCCCAAACATGAGGGAAGACGAGCAAAGAGACCAGCTCCGTCCGCCGAACATGCAAGGGTTGATGGCGGCGCTGTGGACTCATGGTGGCTTCCATGGGGTCACCAAGAACGCCGAGAAGTTCAGCGACACCATCCGCTACGTGAACAACTTCATGAAGGAACAAGCTCGGTGACTCGGTGATGTGGCGCACCGCTGGACGTCGCTCGTCGTCATGAAGAATGTCAAGACGAGTATTCATCGTGACAACCACAATGCTGGGGACAGCAAGACTGCGACCCCAGCATTAGGAGTTTCAAAATGGGATGCTGTGGATCGCTGACCCGGAGATGGATAAGGATGATCCTGCAAGAACGATCACTCGCCACCAGGCTTTTCTCCCGGACCCGACGGCCCATCATGCGATGCAGCCATGGACCGCGGTGAGATGGTGCGTTTCGTGCTTTACATCGCGACGCGAGTCTATGATGGACCAGGAGATGAGAAAGTCCCTCGGCAAGCTGGAGTTCCCGCTAGCGCCAACAAAGACAAGGACCGGCGGTCAAGAAGGCCCAAGAATCTCAAGAAGGCAGGGGTCGTAACGCTTCGTACCGTCCAGTCTCCAGGAGCCACAGATAAACAGGGACGAAGTGTGTAGCCCAAATGCGCAAACTCCCCATGATGTGGCTGAGACAACTCTGGCTGTCAGCCGACAAGTAGCAGTGATAGTTCAGAAGCTCGATCTCGCAGCAGCGGTGGTAGCCGGGGATGACCAGCAAGTTCACCACGCCGAAGCGGGAGGAGGAGTTCGTCCAGTCGATCAGTGCGCGGACGTGCCTGGCGGCAGAGGAGCTGCGCAAGCACGACTCCGAGAGCTTGAAGAAGATTTGGTCGCTTGTTCGCCCGAAGAAGCCGAAGTCGCCCCTGCCTGTGGGGTGGAAGTGGAAGAAGCTCGATGTGGCGGATCTCCGCGATCTGTACGCCACGGAGGTCCGGCAGGCAGGACTTGGATCGCCCGGACGTGGCCACTGACTGCGTTCGTTGGGACGTCCTCAGCTCATCACGGAGATCGACATCCGGGTGACTGAGGTGCTTGCCGACCTCCCCTACTCCGAGACGCCGATGTGCGGAACATGCAAGATCCCAATGGTCCCAATGGTTGTCCGCAAGAACAGAGTGAGCAAGCAGGACTTCTATGGATGCGTGAGATTTCCTCTGTGCAGGGAGGCCTTACCCATGACCTGTGGACAGCAGACGAAGGAGCAGCAGAAGCATCGGTGGACCAAGGGCACACCCGAATGCTCGTCGCAAGCAAGTGGTGCCCTCCAGCGAGCTTCGAGGAAGCTCCTCGGATGAGGAGTCATCCGAGAGCGAGGAGGAGGAGCGCTTCATCAACAACAATGTGACCGAGGAGGAGCTGAAGATCTTGAAGGATCTGAGGATGGCCAATGCGAGGAGGAGAAGTGCTCGGCTCAGTCGCTCATGCTACAGCAGGACGATCTTCACGGATGGGTTCTGAGGGGACTCCTGAAGAGTTGATTTGTAATGAGACTTGTAAGCCTGCCGTGCTTCCAAGAAATCGATCTGAGGTTCACCGGTGCATACTCGAGGGTGCCGCGAGACGCAGGGCTGCTAAGCGTGGTCTTGTCAAACGATTTCTCGGAAATGCAAATTACGGCAATTGCAGCGACTGTTATGAGCACAATCGCTGCCTCTATCGGGATGGCAGTGCATGGATGACCAGACCTCGTGGAAGTGTTTGCCGGAGAAGCACAAGTCACTTATAAGAGTTTCAGCCGCTGGGGATGGAATGCTGCCCGTCCGGAGGACCTCAATCTGGGTGATGATCTGTGTGATGCTGACAGCAGAGAGCGTATCCCTGAGTGGACAGCCTCGTTTGGTTGTTTTGTCGTATCCGCGATAGAGCTTATACTCTCCATGATGTGGCTGAATGCTCGCCTCAGGAGAAGCGTAGGCGACACAAACGATACTGTAGAGACGAAGGTGTGTTTGAGTTTGTGGAACAAATAGCTCTCTCGAGGAGACGACGCACTTGCTGAGGATCCAGTTTCCCCCAAGGCTCATTCAGAGACGGGCCACTCGCGTGGGTCATTCGTCATCCTAGCGTGTACACGATTGTCGCTCAGGGGTTTCGTAGCTCACGAGTCACGAGGACCTTCGGTTTGGAGGACAGAAAGCCTACTCTCTGGATGAGCACGTCCATTGAGGCCTGTGAAGAGATTGCTCCATATAAGGTGGCCAGAGCAGTTTACGATATTGAGCCCAGAGTCGTGCCCCGGCGGCTATCTGCAGAGGATATGTGAAGACTCTTAGGCGAAAGGAACCTTCTAGGATAAGACGCATGCTTCGCCAAGTCGCTGCACGGATAAGGGGAAACAGCGATCTAGAACTGGTCAAGAGTCTCAGGTGAAATGAAAAGAATGTAGACCGAGGCCCTGCTAGGTGGAGTTTAAGCGTGTTTGCTGTTGACTCTCCTGAAGAGGGTCGGCAGGCAGGTGGCATGAAGACACCCCACTACGGAGTCGGCGCATAACGGCGTGAGTTTTGCTTGGTCACCAAGGTCGGATGGCCTCAGGACGAGGTAGGAAACTCCGTGGACTAGGCAAGCCTGGGTTTTTCGTACTCCGGAAGCCAGGTATGATGGTCAGTGGCGTCGTGTCGAGAAGGAAGCTAAGTGCTTCGAACTTGATAACCCTAATTTACTGCCCCGAAGTCCGGCTGAGCTTCTGAATACGGTCTTTCAAAGTCGAACCAAGCGCGGAATGTGTTTGGAGGATGTTCCGCTCGGGATAAAGAGTCGTAGAACTGAAGCGGACTTTTCTTGCTTACGACTGGACTGGAAGCATCGAGGTCGGAGAACGCACTGGTACACTTTGTGTCCTGTGTGGAATCGACCGTCACGCGTACCACGAGTGCGATAGTGATGCTCCTTCGAAACAGAAGTTCCAGGAATCCTTTTTGCACTGATGCAGGAAGTGATTCAATCATGTCCTGAAAAACGACTTCTTGATCCTTCACAGCCTCATGATCTTCGACAATAACCAGCAACTGCTACTAGGGACGTGGACGAAGTCAACAGTTCAGCTTCTTCAGCTAGGCGAGCCAAAGCCAAAGCACTACCCAGGCGTGGTGGTGAAACTCTCACAAGTAAGTGGTATCATCATCATCAACATCATCATCATCATCATCAGGTACGACACACCCCGCAATTGCGTCAATGTCGCAGTTGCACATCGTGGTTATCAGACATAAGCCATATGTGGTGAGGAGTACGACAACATTGGTGTCACCGATCACGAGACTATTGTGAGGACTGTTCAGCAAAATGTCCGACCAACGTGACATGACTTCCACGAAGGGGTGACATCATGTTATACCGATGACAATTCAGAAACAGCCCGAGCGGGTATACCAACCCAGGGTGCAAGCGCATGGCAGACGGAGTTAAGGGGAGACTTCTTGAACTTATGCCGGTCAAAGGTGTCTCTTTTCTGCACAATGAATGGGGCAAAGTACAGGAAGCAGCAGCTCCGCGACACTCCACATATCACCGCAAAGAATGGGCGAAATGGGCATTTTTGAGGACAGGTGCGCTACCGTTGCCACGAGCGCAACCATTCCTACCGTTCCATGCGATGAAGGAGGGTGGGTGAAAACCGATGACATTGTGGGGCTCTCGACATGTTACGGGCGCATTCTTCAAGGCGTACCACCGAGACGGACCAAATTCGCGATCGTGAAAGCAGCGATCCATCAAGAATGCCTACAGCTCCTGATCGAGGGCAAAAACCTCAACGCTTCAGCCTACAGAAATGCGAAGATCAAATTGCAGTTCTTGGGTATCAGGGTTGCAGACCCACCAAATGGAGACCAATCGGCTAGTGGTGATCCTTCCAGTGACGAGCTCGTTGTCAAGACCACGGATGAGGACCTGGACTTCAACAAGAATTGGGTCAGATGATGGGCCGTACGAGCTACCAACGGTCATTCATCGGAATCCAATCCCGGCAAGATTACAAGATCCTCCTGAAGGTCAACCCGGACAGGTTTGCTATTTCTCCTTCTATGTCATTGCGGGTGGAGCATTCCACAGCACTGCCTGCGTAGACCTTCCGTCCATCATCGACAATGCCATCTTGCTTGGGACAGAAGTTTCCGACAGTGAATCTGGAAGATTGCGCAGTCTGCGCAGTCACTTTGGAGTCTACACTCCATTTGACAAGCCAGCGCAACGTGGTGACAACGTGGAGGGTCCATGGGAATAAGTCCATGCAATTGGCAGTTCCTTATATCCTGACCTACGGATTGAAACGGCATAACGGATGCTGGACCGAAAGCGGGCATGATAATCGTCAGTCGTCCAATTCCGTTCAAGTTTGTGAAGGAAGTTTGTGAAGGAAATCTGGTAATCTGGTTTTGCGTTCCTGACTACAACGACTACAACTTCGCAACGATACAGAAGTCTCCAATCTTACGAGATTTCCAACATGAGCGGACTCCTCATAAGGTCATGAGCATGCTATGCGAGTTGCTTCGCGGTCCACATGATTCCGAGACCGAACACCGTTTCAGGCGACTCGCAGCTGCAGTTGACTATCGCCATGAGGACACCCGGAGGCATCAGCACGTGAGGGGCGCCATTCAACTCACCGTCGAGAACATGCGACCAGAGGAGCCTCGGAGCCGCCTCAGAATGAGAACGGTGCCGGAGCATGAGCACGCCTCTGTCCCGCATGCATGGCCATGGTTCCTGCGTGCATTGCTCGGTGCACCAACCGTTTTTCCGCGTTCGTGTCTTGCGGCAAGTGTGCACCAACGGACTTCGCCGCGGAGGGAGACTCCTTTGGAGATCCCGAGCGACGAGGACATTGCCCAGACAATGAGGGCAGAGGCTGCAGCGACATCGTCCAACGCGAACTTTCAAGATGACGATGAAGTTGATGCTGTGTCCGAACCAGAACTGGAGATTGATGGCACGCTCACCGAAGCTGAGCCTGATGAAGAATTTCTACAAGATCTTGACGAGAATAAAGATCAAGATGAGTTTGCTGAAAGGCGTCCAGTACTGCTGGAAGGAAGGACGCTCATCACTGACCCAACCTTCACACAAGCTCGCTTGTCCATGCAAGTTCCTTATTTTGTGGATGCGGAACCAGCGCGATGCATTGATCCCAAGGCGGTGTGTGTCGTTCACACACATGAGCTACATCATTGTGCACTGTATTTACAGGACGTGGACAGCCAACCTCAACTTGCCATGGACAATGGACAACCATGCAGTACGAGGCTATGAGTCAGATGCTTGAGAATGGCAGACGTCGTGGGTAGCTGGCCCATGCTGAGCGGAATTGATGAGCAAACAACACACAGCAGGACGTCACCGACGAGGAAGTCTTGTACTACTTGAGAGGACTCAATGACTCCCAAGATCCTGACCAAGATCCTGAGGGAAAGTATTTGCTTCGCAAATTCAGCTGCTCTTTAAGCTTTGCGTGGTGCGAAGCAAATGGGGATGTCCAGAGACACATTCAACCCAGCTACCTACATCAAAAAAGGGCAGACTACCCAACAGATGCACTACAGTTGCTACTCGGTGTTGACCGAACTCATCGCCAAGGTGACAGGCGACAAGATGTTCTCAGTATTGCGAGAACCACCAAATCGCGCGGTGGATTACTTGCACATTGACCCTGTGGGCGTACTCATGATGAACAACGTCAACACCACAGCCGTCACGACCATCGAGATGCTCGTGAACTACAGCATTCAGTTGCCGGCGCGCTTCACCGAAAAGCTGACGAAGTCACATGCAACTGCACGACCCGCAAGGCATACCCAAGCATACCCAAGCACTTCATCACCTCAGCGTGGCAGACTACCTGGGACTTGGTCAAACGTCTATTCGTGATCAGAAGAGATGGCGACAATCACAAGACCAGCGGAGCCCAAGGGTCCTCCACCAGGCCGAGGCAATGCCAACCGATGGGTTAACAAGGTTAACGGCGGCAGTTCTTCAGCAGATCGTGAACGTGAGCGAGTCCGCAGCTGGTAAAACGGTACCCAGCGGTGAACTTCCTAGAGAATGTCAGTGCCCACGTGCTCAGCCAACACTTGTGACACCGGCATCATCGATGTGATCCTCATCACATGTCCGTTTTCTTCGTTGATTTTCTGATCCTGGTAAGTGATTTCGGGGATCGTTACCCACGTAAAGACGTGCCACAGCATTTTTAGTGGGGAAAGAATCGGAAAGAAGGCTCGATGCAAACATTTCGCAAAGTTGCGACGGATTAGACACTCTCTTCTTTTCTTTCAAAGCCAATCCCGACTGTCTTTCTGTGTGAGTAGTGCCTAAGGCGCATCTCATGGTGGGTGCGAACGGACCTCGATACCTAGTCCAACTTGTTGGGTGTCGCAATATGAGCTATGTACAGTGTCTCGGGATTGCTTAGCAGACCATGAACATAGACCTTCAAAATACGGTCAACACTGCTTGCTTTGCAGCTTGTACAAAGTCCTATGAGTGTTCCGCCTCACACGCAACTTTGTGGCTCAAGAAGCTGCTCTTGGTTCAAGACCAAAGCTTAGCCTGGTCTCGTAAGGCTAATGATCCATAGCATTCGACCCATTTCTCTCTGCACAGATCACAGCTGAGTTCCGCAGAACAACAAGAGCGTGGGAAGGAAGTGTGCCTGCTCGGGAGGGAAGCCAGTGTCCTCAACATCAATAAGCCAAGATTCAATAAGCAACCACAACTACAGTGTCAAGCTCGGTGAGGTGAGCGACTATATCAATTACAAACCATCACGCAGCAGCAACAACAACAACAAGAACTACTACTACTACTACTACTGCTACTACTGCTACTACTACTAATACTAATACTACCACCACTACCACTACAGAGGCACGGCTACTACTATTGCACTAGTAGTAATAGTGGTGCTAGTGGTAGCAGTCGGACTGGCACCAGTACTTGTTTTAGCTAACGCACTACCAATCGACCCGCGGGTTATGCTTGTTTTTGCTTGTTTTTGTCTCCTTTTGAGCTGTTGTGTTTTGGGGGGGGGGCGGTGGGGGGGGCTAGTTTCGTTCTGTCTGACGACGTCCATTACCGAGCAATCCTAGAAGTTGGAGTGCTACCAGTTGTATTTTTGGTTCTGCCGCACTAACCTCCCTTGCTATGCTGCTACTGCTGCTGCTCCTGCCACTGCTGCTGCACCTGTATTGCATGGTCTTGCAACCATATACTCTCTAGTTAGCTGCCATGTGTACTGATACCAAGGTTTTGCGCATCGGCAAAACGGCAGAACATCAGGTTTGTGGGGATTCCAGCATGGATTTGGCGGAAGTTCTGTGGAAGATGAAGATTCGCGGAAGCTCAACGTCCAAATCCTTGGGCTCATCCTTGCCTCAACCTCCGCTTTTCGCACAATCTGGAAATCTAGCCGCTGTTAACCTCAAGTTCTCGCTACTGCGGGCCATTGCACGTGGTTATCGAATATTCGGCGATGCGAAGGTCATGATGTGTCATACACTGTCATGGGCGGCCTCAAGCTCGATACAACCCCCTAGGTGTGACCAATCTCTCTGCCCAGCGGCTTCGTTTTGATTGAAACCCATTTTCTGAGCTTGTCCCACTTTCGAGTACAATCAGCGCTCCATGGCACGTGATGCATGAGGTGACGCAAGAACTGGCTCAGGCTGTTGGGGGCGTGCTCCGTGCTGTAACGTGTAAAAGAGCCTGGAAACATGTCCGACAGGTATTGCCCAAAGAGTTGGAGCAGCTGCAGCTGGCAGGTCGGCTGCCGTGGTCTGAAACTCACGCCCCACCAGCCGAGCGAGCCGAGACCAAGCCCGCACGGAGGCAATGAAATCGGAGCTCTCGGGGTCATGGCTGTGGCAGAATGCGCCCGTTTCCTGTCAGGGCTGCTCAAATGCTGCTGGCCTGATCCATCCCTGTGCTTAGGTGAGCAAACACCCTCTCAAGGACGTGTCTGCGAGGGTACGCGTGTGCACTGTTTAAGAGGCTTGACGACCCGAAAGGAGCTCATTCTGAGCGAAAACAAGGTTGGCAATGAAGGTGCTACGCATCTTGCAGAAGCCTTCGGCAAGGTCGGCCACACAAGTAGCTTCCTGCACGCATTCTGTGGCTGTCCAGCATCTAAGGATTGTGGCCTGGTGTCGCTGCACCTGTCTTGGTCAGATGTCGCGGATGAGGGTGCCAGCGCTTTGGCCGAATGCCTCCCTCGACAGCAGCAATTGAGGTGCTTTCCAGCGGGACAGTTGCAATAAAGGTGTAGCCTCTTAGCCTGGTATGCAGGGAGCTGTGGCTCACCAACAACAAAATCGAGGATGTTGCAAGCCCAGCTTACTGCCATTTTGCAATGTAGCTCTGATTGGCTTGGCGAACACAGCCTTCCTTCTCAGGCTGGTGGTCTTGACCTGGCAGCCGCCATGGAAGCACATGGTCTCTTGAGGTGCCTTTGCATGGAGTCTTCAAAGAGAGTGCACACGGAGTGCATAATTAGTAAGCAAGCAATGCACAGGCTCTTGGCGCACCGATCTTACAACACTTACAGCAGGATGACCTGCGCAGTCAGATGTTGTGCAGCAAGTCCATCATGGCATACCTTGAATCAGCTGGAGGCTTGACCGCAACAAGATCACTGATCAAGGTATCACATGCTTTGTGCAGCTCTCGGACTGCGACGGCAGCCGTTCCAACAGCACGGACACTTGCGGAAGCTTTACACGGATCCAAGCAAGTTCGGGACGTGCCGTGCGAAGGCTTTTTGTTTGGGCCACGCACAACGTGTGAGATGTGAGCGCAGACTTTATGTTTCACTTCGCCGGATGTACAAGTAGTGTTGTGCGGTGCTGGGTTGGGTCGCTGAGGTCTCTGCACTCGTCCGCATGTGCAAGAAGGACGAGTTTCAGTGATCACCCTGGTGGTTCCCCAGTCGGTGGAATCGATCCAGGACCTCACCTGTAGCCTGGGGCATAACATTTCCAGCCGCTTCGATGAGGAGTGCAATTTTTTCCGCATGCCATCACGACTTAGTTGGTTGTTGCATCAAGAGGGCGTCAAGTCCAGAGAGGCACCACAGGGCTCAAGCCTCTCCATTCTCTAGCTCGTAAGGACACCCTCCGCAACTTGAGTGTTGCAGCGGCAACTGTAAGGCAGGTCACGGGGAGCTCAGAGCTAGCAGCTGGCAATCATCCTGCCCAATCGTTCCCAGGACAATCTGCAAAAGGGCTATGCGGCTCGACATGATGCTGAAGTTCTGGCAGGCTGGACCTTCGCAGGGACTGGTGTATATTCCGCCAAGAAGCTGAAGCTGGATGCCCCATTGGCATGCTCGTACAGGATTCCACATCAGTTGGCCTTGTAGCGCAGCACTCGAGCACAGAGGACAGGAGAGTGGAAGTGTTGTGGCAAATGTCTCGCTGGAGCACCTGTTTCAAGTGATTCGAACACAACGGCAATGCAGATGCAACGCAGCGTCGACTAGGAAGTTGTCGACGTGGTGATATTACCTGAGTCCAAAAGGTCCAAGTCTCAGCTGGTGTTTTGTTGCTTAAGCAACATGTTCGCGCAGCGCTGCTGCGCAGGTACGGTGCTTGCTACGCTGAGTTTTTCCATTCTTGGAGCCCCGAGAGTTACGTGGCGCATTCGTGGAAGGCCGGACAGGGCTGACTTGGAGAAGCGTTGTATTGACTTGCTTGACACTGCAAGGGCCTCTTCAAAGATTTGCTGCTCGCGATCGCCATGCATGCGTCTGGCTTCACGCAGCCCAAGCTAGACCCAACCCACGAACAGCATCCGCCTCATCCCATCGCGGGATGCAGGTTTGAACACTGCTGCTGTAGCAGCTGTAGCACCGCACTGAGGTATGGGCGACGCCCTGAAGCGCTCATGAGGTGTTGTGCCGGTCCCGAACCAGAAACCATGCCGCAATGCTTGATCCCGTCGCAGGCGGTACTTCGTCGACATGTTCTGCATTGTCAGGGACTTTCTCTGCTGTGGAGCCTGCATCATGCGGTCATCTTGAGCCCTTCCTCGCGTGCCCAAGGATCAGGCGAACCGCCTGCCCCGAATGAATCCACGGTGCGAGACTGACAAGGTGGACTTCGTCATTCAAGAGTTGAGGCCCCTGTCACCAAGCCCTTGCACAAGGTAAGACGGCTGACAGACCCTGATGTTTCGTGAGTCTGGTCATTGGCAGCTGTGGCGTTTTTCACTCCTCCCGTCCAGTCGGAAAGAAGTCAAGCTCGTTGTGGCAATGGACAGGGACAGCCGGCCATGATTATGCCATTGCTGTAACTCGAGGGATTGCAGAATGGCTGTTGCTTTGGAGGGCTTAAGAGTCTCTTGGCAAGTCGTGAATGGAGAGTTTCTGGAACATTTCTGTGTCAGGACCATACTCCCATGGTGCGTACTTGGTGCCTCGCGGTGTTTTGTACGCACTTCGTAGGTTGTGCACCTTCAGACGGCATATGCTGCCACCTACCGAGGAAGTGTACTTTGCCAAGAAGTCTCACATGCAAGTCTTGGTGAGCTCGCGTCCTGGCAGGTAGCTGAAGAACACTCTGCATTGGATCAAAGCTGAATCAAGGTTTCGGTCCCATTCGATCAATGCCTCGAAGACGCAAAGGCTCCACTCTCAGTATCTCTCCGCCATCTCGAAGCGGGGCTTGCGATGGCTAATTCATTCATGGGCGATGCTGTGAGACGGACAAGCTGTGGGGCTGATTCTGCTCCAAACCATGTGCAGGTATGACATGGGCAGAGTCGCAGGCTTCATTAGAAGACGATCTGCATTTCTTGAAGCAGGAAGCAGTCGTGCACACTTTCCTGCACAGTACGTTTCGTTCGTTTCGCATGTGCCGCCAGGAGATGCTCCGTGGGCCTGGGATTGGAGAGAATCTAGGGCAGCAAGACATTGGCAGATATTCGTAGCAACTCACGGAAGGCTTCTACAGATGCTCACAGTTTAGCTGGTTTGTATGCAGTTCGCATGTCCTCCAAAGTCACAGGGCGACATGGGGAAAACATGTTTGCTGCAGTTGAATTGCCTCTGGATTTTTCGCGCATTTCCCCCCAGCCAGGGTGCTGTAGGAACGAGAAGCCAGGACGGCATGTGGCAGAAACCAGAGCCAGCGATTTTTACATGCGGCGCCGGCTCTGCACACTGCCGCGCACACGGGATGGGATCGCAGCTGGTGGGGGGAAATAGGGTTGCGCGTTGCAGTGCGACATGCTCCTGGGCGGACAGTGGCGCTCCCCGTTCACCGGAAAGCGGTGCCCGGAGAGGTTGCTCCGTTGCGAGGAAGTTTGAGGAGGAGGTCATCAAGCCTCTGCAAAAGCAGACCTTGGAAACGCCGCCGGCTCAGAGCGGTGAGGAAGGAGCCCGAGCCTTGCAAAGGCTTTAGCCACTTTAGCCTTCGTTATCACCTCACCCCTTCCGCAGATACCGCGCAGTCTACGAGTTGATGCCAGTGGAGCAGAAAGAGGAGCCTGAGGGCCGCAGCCGCGCAAGCCGCATGGGAGCCTGCTTGGCATTTCGGGGCAGGATGTTGTAATTTTTTGATGGCAGCACAACTTTCACAAGATCCGGCAGGATGTCTCCAAGCGAGGGTGTAGTGTATCAGCTCATATCAGCACCAGGGGGCAGTGGCAGCGGCCTGTCATGGCCCGGGCTTGAAGCACAGAGCTCCCAGTAGCGCCGCACGATTTGTGGTGAGACGTTTGCAACCCGCAGACGATCAATCAAAGCAAGAGCGTGCCACTGTGTCAAGGACAATGTCCGATCTAACTCATGCTGTCAGGAGTGTGATTGGATGAAAGCCCAGGATGAAGCACGGGAGGACTGCCGCTCGCTTGTTTGTCTCATGTGTAAAGAGATTGTCAAAAGCTTAAGTTGAGCAGTTGTTCAAAGCCATGCTCAGCCATCATCCTGCATCGGCCGAGACTGCCTGGGGCGTGTAGATTCGCGTAGGCTCTGCATAAGCCGATACAGGTAACGTACGTAGGCTGCATGGGCTTCGCTGTCTATTGTTGTATCATACGAATGGGAAAGGAAGCTTTTTGCACCTTGCTTGACTCCTTCTGTAAAGTACAATAAAGTATTTCTGTATTTCAATCGACGAGATTAGCCGCGTTTAACAGCCCCTTGGTGTGCAAGACAGTGTCAGAGTGGTGCCTCGCAATCTGGTAGAGTAGCCAACGTTGGGATTCCGAGCTCTTGCTTTTTAGTGTAGGCCTCGAGGGAGTGTAAAGTCAAAGTCGGATGTTGCGGACTGCACTTTGTGCACGAAAGGCGTAGTCATGGCGCATGCTGCATGCAGCCTCAGGTATCATATTCTTCGTAAGGAATTTCGAACTTCTCGTCGCATACACGGTCCATACACTTGATTTAATCCCCAGTCTAGAACGAGGCTGAGGTGCTAGAATCAGAAGACAAAACATGACAAAACCGTGTAGGCCTGCGCACACTAGCATAGTTCGAGACATGTCTGCACAAGCGGTTTGCCCCAGTGTGCAGCGGTATAGTGCATAGCAGCGCGTAGCCCTGCGGAGGCTCCACAAAGATGAGAACATCCCCCACGACAAAACAAGCTTTACTCATTTGAGGACATGAAGATGTTCGCAGAGAACGGCAACGTGGAAACTCGGAGGCAATGGACTCTCATCGTGGCCAGTGCCCTGAACCGTACCAACTGAACCATCCGCCATCTGCCGTTTGCGAGCACAGGAGAAGTTGGGCGAGGCAATAAATGCAGGCATCACAGTGCAAATTGAGGTGGGCTCAAAGCCCCTCTGCATGTAGCAGCAGCTGCCGTGGCGATCATTGTCAGGAAAGCTTCATGTTGCCAATGCGGCAGCGGTTGTTGCCCCAGCTGTCGCGCGATGTGACTGCGGCTGGATTTCGAATCCAAGGTTTGCCCAACTTGAGGTGGCCCTGACATTGAACACGGAGGTACGGTCCTCGACTCGAAATGCAGCTCGCGAGTTGGAGTCGATTTGTGAAAGGCAAGGTTTACAGTGGAAGAACACATTCTGGAGCTGAAGCGGACTCTGCTGGCAGCTGAAGAGGCTCCAACTCTTCTTGTTGGCCGTTTGTCTCAGGGTTAAGGCCGGTTCGCAATAGTGAGACCTGGCTACATGTTAGATCAAACTGATTGGCCGGCTGCTCTCGACTGCCCCGGCTCTTGCGGGTCATCTACTGTGCTTTAACAAGCACCTCGCCCCTGTGATGAGCATACGAGTCGCTCTTCCCTGTTTTCGCCTGCAGGGCCCATCGTAGTCAGTGTCCCCTGTCCTTTATTACACAAAGGCTGCCTTTCAAGAAATTGCGCACTCCCAGAGTTTATAAAGCTACCAGGCAGGTGTTGAGGATGCCGATCTCTTCAGCTCGTGCCTGATCGGCCAGGCTTTCCGTGCAAGCTTGCCAGATCTTGCAAAGCATGCGCTGAGGTCGGGCGCGACAAAGGCTGGTACAGTCCAAGCTCACTGCCTCCGCCTCGTGGAGCTTTCTGTTCCTTGCTTGGAAGGCTGTGGGAGCAAGAGGAGGAGGTACGGAGGCAAAATGAGCGCAAGGCACAGCTAGCAGCTAAGACTGGGAAGAATCACCCCAGCTGGCTACGTGCTACAAGTGCAGAATACATGAGACCATGACTTTGGAGGCTCTCGTTGCGTTGTCTCAGAATGGCAGCGACGAGGAAAGGCGGGAGGCGCAAGAGAGGACAGTAAGCCCTGCCGCCTTTTCTTGTTCTACCGGTGCCTCTTCGTACGGCACCCGAAGGGAGAAACTGGGAGAACATCCGATCCCAGGAAGGTTCCTTCCGACCCACATCGGATCTTCCAGAACGAACTGGTCCAAGAAGAAAGCCTTCCCCAATTGGAACAGTGGAAGCCGCCCGGGCATGCTGCATCACATGTCAGCTCTTCAATTTGTAGGCACGCAAGATCCTTGTCTTCTTGGAGATGGCAGATGCTGTCGAGGCGCTTGCGGTCTGAGCTTTGCAACGATGGATGCTCCAACTCTGTGCGAGGCTCGAGACTTGGAGGCTTTGCTGCGCTTGGTGCCAGAAGCAGAAGCAGCGGTCGTCGAGTCCCACCAGGCTTGGATATGTGACTGTGACTGCAACATGTGGTGTGGACTTCTTCTGAAACGTGCTCGCAGGAAGATGAGGTGGCGGCTGGCTGGCGCTTGATCCGTGAGCCGTCTACCCAGTAGAGGAGCTTTCTTGCGGACCATCGCATGGCTTATCACGACGGAAGCTGCTACCAGTAGCATCTTGCGAGAAGGATGCGGCATTGTTTGGGCTCCCAACCGAGCCCAACAGAACTAACTTCAGCATCTGGCCAGAACTGAGGGCCGCCGTTCGGTGGGGGGGGGGGGGGTCCGGCGCCTCCGAGCGGGCAGGGATTGGGTCCTAGGCTTTTCTGGACTTGTTCTAACCTTGCAAGGGGGGAATGGATCCCCGACTGTGGCCCGGGTTGGTGATCCGCCCACGCTCCATCACAGACACCTGGATAGAGGTAGCGAGGAACGCGGAAGGGAGGGCGCCACTTGCATGTACTCTGACGACCCAAGCAGAAATCCTTCATGTGAAGACAGGTCAAACTTAATGAGACAAAGCCGCCTTTTCGTTTCACTCAAGCAGAGCTGCCGTCTGCCGTGCACTTGTTTCAGGCATTTGCGATCAACACATGTGATTTGAACATCTGCGATCAGTACACTTGAATCTTGAATCAGTCATCTGCAAGTCTGCCACCACTCCTTAGTTGCTCCGTCACGTGGAAAAGAGGGGACCACCGAGTACGTCACATGCAAAGGGAGTGGGGAGAGCGTTTGGTTCATTTAGTTCATCCACTTATACTATACTTCACAAAATCGGTCGCTAATCTCCATGGAGAGATCCATCTTGGCTCTGAGCAAACTGACAACATGTGGCCGTTTACTGAATGTTTGTTCTTCGTACCAGAGTGGGGAAACTAACTGAACACTGGAGCTTACTAACTACCTGCATGAGCACTAACGGCGTGTGAACACGCATGAACAGCTCGGAAGCACTTTCTTCCATGAAGGCAATGCTGATACTTCAAGAATGCATCTATTCAGACTGCCAAAACAAGGGTCGACATATTCATGCAGCCTGTCACATGCCACGTCTTCGATTGCCTCCACGCAGCTAGTGACCCGACATAAACTTCAATTTGATTTTAGCCCCTGAGATGTGTTCATTGTGTTTGGAGCCGCGGAGATTTTTCAGTTTGAGTGGAGCGGCTAAAGTGTTGTCAGCTTGCTTGTAACCGCTCAAATGTTTTGGAGCCGAGACGGAGTTCTGGCATTGTCACTGTGAAGGATCGCTCTTTGCTTAGATTGTGTGAAGTTTAACAACAAAACCGACCCCACCGAGAGGTCCACGCTTCAGAACTATTCGCTGTGGCGATCTGTGGCGGATGCCTTTTTTTTGACCAGCCCACTCCCTCCTGGCATCCCCTGGCTAGGGAAAGGACCCAGGTCCGTGGCGAGAATCGAGTCATGAACTACCAACGATCCACTTGCAAAGGACCCATTGTTGAAATCCCCGTTCTCATATCAACGGCTAGGTAGGTCTGGGATATGAGGATCACACTGCTGCATGCGATCAGCTGCCTGTTCAGGTACCGTTGAAGTTGCGACCTTCCCGTGGCCATTTTGGGTCAAGGTGTTCACCTTGACCGGCCGGGAAGGATCGCTCGATTTTTCGGTGATCAGGAACTCAGCTCTAGGGCCTGGGAGGTCGAGCCATGGCTGGTTGGGGTTCTCCAGTTCAATCCTGGGATCAGTACCAAGGTCATGGGCAAGATCAAGGCCAGGGCGGAGGATGGGGCGGGCCAGGTCGCCGTGATGATCGGCGCACTCGCGGCCGAGGGGGACGTGGGCGTTCCCACAAGCAGCTCATAACCCCTATGAGGTCCGTTTACCCCACTTCATTGAGTCCATCGCTGAATGTGAAGACAACGAGCGAAAGACTTCCATCATCATGGTGGACAAGCGAGATGATCGGATCGTGTCGCCTTTTCAGGCCTGGCTGGTTCGTGAGATCATGACGAACAGTTCGAGTTCGATCAATGTTCTCACAGAGAGAGATCAGGTGATGCCACCTCAGTCAGGTTATCACCTGTCTCTCGTTGCCAACTACACGCTCGATGGTTTTAAGGCGACGGTGGCGCTTTCGATCGACTCGCAGACGGGAGCTCCTTGTGGTGGATGGGATCCTGCCACAGCAAATGCTCTCAGCCATGTGGCTTTTCAGCCGTTTTCGTGGCCGGTGCTCAATGACACATCCCCTTCTTACACGGATGTGAAGATCTACAATGGGAACGAGATCCTGTTCCACTGGATCTTCAGAGGTTTTCGCGCCGACACCGATCTGTCAGTTCAGCAGCAGTTCGCCGATGAGTTCTTCATCAAGGACATCTGCCGCGGTCGTGTTCGGCTGTCAGTGGTCGTGGCGGCTTTTCAGGCTGGCGGGTTTGGGTGTTCTCCTTCGAATGCGGAGGCCGTACCTCTTCGGTCGGTCCCAACGGCACAGTGATCGCTGGTGACAGTGCAAGGTCACACTTCGAGCTCCGAGTCACGGACCGCTCGCCGAGGATGCGGTGGGGAACGACGCAGATCGGGTGGAGTTTCGCTACCGTGACTCCAACAACCGCATCGATCTGAAGTGCGCTCGCATCTCGGTGCCGGCGACGTGGCTCACAGTGTCGCATATCAGCGGCCCCACCCTCATCCAGACGGTCACCCGGTGCAGGGAGCAGCGAGCTCGAGTGGAGGTGCCGGAGCAGACGGAGCAGTTCGCTCAGCTAGCGGCTGCTCGCCAGCACTGCGGGCAACTTTCACGTGCAGACAGGGAGCGAGCTCTTTGTTCGCGAGCCCGAGATCGTCAGCACACGGGCGCTCGCTGAGACGACGCACGAAGGCACGAAGGTCGGTCGCAGAGACAGCTCAGACGATCGCCGACACAAGCCGTGGCTCTGGTGAAGTCGCTCTTCGTACCCCAGCTCAGGACGATATCCGGGACAGGGCGTTCGCCGCTGCCGTGGAGCCGGCCATAGGGGACGAGGAGGTCACAGCTCGCGAGGACCGCTCTTCCTCCCGGTCGACGGCAAAGCTCACGCCGCAGATGTTCGCGGACATGACGGGTCCAGGCTCGCAGTTCGTGACCCGATCGTCGGCAGGTGGAAGCAGTTGCTCAGTTTTGCTTGTGGGCGATCGCTTGACAGAAGCCCGCTCGGAGGAGCAGTTTCATTTTGCAAGCTCCCGTATTTTGGCTGTTCTTTGACTTTATCTCAGACAGCCCGCTCGGGAAGAGCTCAAAAAGAACTGGCCGCGTGATCACGCGAAGTGGTTTGCAGCCGCCGTTCTTCTTCAAGACTTGCAGTTCTTTCAGACAAGGTTCATGTCAGGTCAGTTCGTTTGCAAGTGCAGCTCGGCAGCCACATGTTCACGCATGGCATTTCTGCGCATGTTCAAGTCAGTGCAGTTCTGCAGTCACATGTTCATGCTGTTCATGTCTCCTGCTCCTCTCCTCCTCCTCTCTGCTCCTNNGTCGTCGTTCGGCAGGGGGGTGGGCTCTGATGCGCATCGCAGCAGCTCTGTGCTGGACTCTGTCCCGCCAGCTCGCAGCCTAAGATCTACAAGCAGCGGCCCCGACCGATCGATGGACCGCCAAGAGCTTGGCTTACCCGTGCTTCGATCGGCATTTTGTGGAGGCTCTTCTCAGGACACGGCTCTCGAATTTGCAGCTGGTCCTTGCGATGGAGGTCGATTCGCAGGTAAGGCGTTTGAATGGACGGCTAAGCTCGCGCCAACAGAGCATTAGGTATTCTCGTCTCGGCCACACCTGCTGGAGCAGTTCTGGGTGTTTGCTAAGGCGACTGTCTTCTCAGAGTCGCTCGGTTAGCAGATGGGAAAAGTTCCTCGCCAGCGGGACGCGCAGTCGATCGCCCAGTTCCAGAGAGATCCGGCGATCCGTGCCCTGGCCACACCCGTCCTGGCTCCGAAGGCGAAGTCTGCGCCCACTGCTGGATCCGCGTCTAGCTCTACGACACCGCTTCTAGATCTCGAGAATGCTGAGAAGCAGAAGTGGGCAAAACGTCTCAAGGCTATCGCCGAAAGAGCTGGTGTTCATGCGAAGCCTCTGTCGAGTGCGGACAATGAGATCCTCTCGGCAGAAGCAAAAGCTCGCCTTCAGCTATTGGCGTTCACCTCTGGAGCTCTTTCCACGATGGCGAACCACATCAGGCGCTTCGAGAAGTTCGAAGCCTGGGCTCGCCGATCGTCGATCTCCTTGTGCCCGATCACGAGTGATACGATATTAGAGTACACCGTGGGGAATGCGGGCCGACGGTCATTCCGCCCCTGCGAATGGCACTTCGATGGGTATCCTTTCGGACCAACATCGAGCTGCCGTCCATTGGTACGGCTCCCCTCAAGGCGCTCGAGAAAGAAGTGTTCACACAAAGGGGGAAGCCGCTCAAGGAAGCGGATCCGATTCCCATTGAGCTCGTGATGGCAATGGAAAAGTATGTGGTCGACGAGAACATGCCAAACCCACCTCGAGTCTTCATATGGTGGACGCTCTGCGTGATCTTTGCCTCCTTAAGGCGAGCTTGAGGTCAAGCCCGAGGGTCTGTTTGGTGTCTCTTGGCAGACCAAGAGTGAACGCAAACGACGCGGGACCAAGTTCGTGGTCCCGGACGTGTCGTTCTCGAAACACTCTTGGTTCAAGACCGGTCTCAATCTCTTCGAGACTTCGAGATGGAGTTCCCTCTCGTGGAACGAGATTTCTGGCTACCGGATCTGGAATCGAGGACCATGTGGAGGTCGACTCCGCCAGACTATGCGCGATCGCTGCAATGGTTGCACCATTTGGTCTGGCATGCAGGGAAAGACGCCGGTGCCAGCCAGGAATCTCTTCGAAAGGTCACGGATCTTACGTGGCACTCGGCCCGCGTTACAATGCTGGATCAGGCAGTTCATTGCAAACGCACCGAGCACGAGATCGGCGTGCAAGCGAACTGGAAGAACCCTGGTCCGCTCATACTCAAACACACACGTTCGCGTTCATCGTTGCCAGCTCTTATGATCAAGGATCTGCTCTCTGAGGTCTCCAAGGATTACGAGCCTGCGTGCGCTCGTGAGGATGATGCCATCGATGATCCTGAAG